CTCATCTGAATACGGTAAAACGTGTTCTAAGATACTTAAAGGGTATAAGAAATTTAAAGCTTCACTACAAGTTTGATTCTCCCCTCGTACTGAATGGATTCTGTGATGCGTCATATGGTAACTGTCTCGATACGCGAAGAAGTTTTTCTGGATACATCTTTCAACTTGGTAGTTCTACTATCTCCTGGAGATCACGTAAACAACGCACTGTAGCACATTCAACTTGCGAAGCTGAGTACATGGCAATAGCGCTTGCATCCAAGCAATACATCTGGATTTTGCGCGGACTTCACCGATTCCTTGGAGATAATATCCCGGCAGCCATCTCGACTGACAATACGGCAGCCATCGAGCTTGCTTACAATCCAAAACTAAATGATGCCTCGAAGCACATCGACATTGCCTATCATTTTACAAGGGAACGAATTGAAGACGGCTCGCTCACACTATTACATGTTCCTTCAGCTAAAAATCTCGCAGATATATGTACAAAAGGCTTACCGAGACCTAGGCACTCCGATTTATGCACTTTAGTTTTCGGTACTGGTGCATCTAATAGCGTGTCTACTATCTAAACATTAGGTGAGAAATGACAATTATCAGACTAACAGTTTTTCACTTATGCATCTATTATCGATGCAAAGTGAGGAGGGGTGTTGAAATATGATATATCTTGGAATGCCAAGAATAACTTATTAGTAAGTCCGGCTAATTTGACTATCAAATTCCCCATTCTATATCACTGTTATCAATACATCATTCACCGAAAGTTTAATGCGCATTAGCGTTTATTTCACACTAGCATTCCAGCGGATGACTATGTCTCAAATGCAGGTTATAGTTTTCTCGTATCTTTTACCGACTCACATGTATTTAGCTTTATATTCCTGACCCATATATGTGTATGTACATAGATCTACATCTACATGGATCATAACTTACGATCCATGGAGATTGATAAATACTGGTCAAAAACCACAGTTGATAAGATATGCGAACACGCAATCTCACTCTTATTATCTCGGTTTTACTCTAAACCATACATCTAAATACAATTGTTTCCACTCGGATCTTCCTCTCACAACCTTATATAAGACTTACTGCATCGGTCTAACCGCCGACACTGATTCCGCTACAACCTCCATCTTTGCTCAAGCTCATAACTTTAACACCAAGATCTCGGCAGCTGACCTTTTGACCGAAAATATCTATAATTTCTGGAGAAATTGTAAGAAAAAAGTGGCATCCATCCTTAGTCTAGACATCTCTGGGGCTTTTGATAACGTTTCTCAGGAAAGACTCGTTCACAAAATGAGGCTAAAAGGAATTCCTATATGGATTACTAGCTTTACTAAATCATTTCTAGAAGATAGGACTACTTCAATAGTCCTTGGCTAGTTTCAAGGAGGAAGCATCAACATAAAAATAGGGATACCTCAGGATTCTCCGCTTTCCCCAATTCTCTTTTTATTCTTCTCTTGTACCTTACTCCCTCCACTTCAGACAGAATCATCTTCCGCGATCGGATTTTTGGACGACACCAATCTGATATCATGGTCAAATACAACTGAAGAAAACTGCCGCAAACTGGAGGAACTCCACGAAAAATGTGCTTCATGGGCTACGAATCATGAGGTTAAATTTGCACCGGAGAAATATCAGCTAATGCATTTCTCGAGGGCCCAGAAACGTCATAATCTCAACTCTACCATCCAAATTCAGAGCCACGAGATTATCCCCAAATTGTCTTTTCGATTTCTTGGAATTCAGTTGGACCCCAAGTTAAAGGATTACAAGCTATAGTGGAGTCACAGATGCAGGTATTGAGTCGACTAACTCAATCAACGTGGGGTGCAAACTTCAAAAAATCTGGACTATTATACAAATCGTTAGTAAGACCAGCGTTTACCTATGAATTGCCTATCTAGGCCAGGACCGGACCGGCAGACAAAATCCCTGAAAAGATATTCAAGTCACTCAGAAGTGTTCAAAGAAAATTCCTAAAGCTCATTACGGGGGCACACCAATCGACCAATAGCAGAATTCTAGAGCATGAAAAATCAACTCTACCGATAGAGATCTATCTAAAACAAAGGCGGCTTCAATATATAGGGCTATCCAATAACCTACCTGTCCAATAGACAATTTCAACTGCTCGCAGAAAAATCAAATTTTTTGATGAAGAGAATCAAACAAATGTTATCAGAATAGGAGAGATGATATAGCGAAACGGACCCTAATCTACAGCAACATTGAGTCTAGAACAGCACAGAAAGTAGCCGGAAAGAACGCCGCGTTCAAGGAATGGTGTCAAACTGATTACCCTAAATTTAAATATAGTATCACAATGTTTAAGTTGAGTAGTTTACAGACGAGTATACGAGGCTGATGCATCAAGGGCAATAATTCAGTCACGCAAATGTTACAATTAGCCACTAGACGGATGGCCAATATCCTACACACAACTCCCTTATTGTCTCATTCCTTCTATTGCCCATGATAATGTCACAGCCAATTTTAAAGCCATGTATGGAATGGAGATTTGGGCAGTTCGCATGGAAAATCTAATAGTCATTCTATATTTGGAATTAGTAGAATACTCAAGATGTATACAGTACCAAGATAGATTTTTCATGGTGGAGGACAATTAATTCAATCAACTCTGAGAGAGATTCATATTAGTATAACTTTGCCTAACAAATAATCAGAATCCTGGACGAGCCAGAAGAAGTAGCGGCGCTTGAGTCCCCGAGCGCAAGCCAATCTAGATATTTAGAAAGCTGCAAGTTTATATAACGACGAGAAAACAGGTAGACTTATGATGAACTACAGAGAGCTGCCTATCCAAATCCACCAAAACCTTAGCAGAGACTAGAGCAGCATTGCCACACAAGTAAGAAGCGAGCACATTGGACTCAATGCTTACTTATACAGAAGGATTGTGCCGGGAATAGGAAAACCATGCTGCCAATGTGGATATCTGTCCCAAAACATAAAGCACATGGTGATGCATTTTCCAGGATGGACAAAGGGAAGAGGCGAGCTGCTACGCAAATCGACAACCCGATCCCTCGAAGCTATGATAAATAACGTCAAGAATGTGACTAGAATTGCACGGTGGATTCAAAAGGAAGGATGGCTAGAGCAGTTTCGGATGACCGGAGAAATCGAGGCGTTACTTAGGCGAAGAGAAGAAAATTGAAACACAGGACAAGGACGGAATCCACAATGGCAACAACAGTGTGAGTGCACTTCCTAGAGGTAAGACTATAATGGCGCAGAATCCAATCAGACAGCTAAGGGGTCTTTTACTGCAAGGTTTCCTCCTATGTAAATATTAGAGTTCGTAGATACCTGCATGGGCCTATATGGCGCCAAATCGGGCTGAATGAATTCAAATTTAAAATTAGTCTAAAATATTAATAAATGGCAAGTGTAAAAAATAAAATAGAATAAGAATTTTGATATAAGAGACTTGATACACAAGCAAAGCAAGGTTGTAAATTTAATAACGCAGAAAAGTAGAGGATTATTGGCCGAAAGGAAATGCAATTGAACAAGGGCGTAACCCTCAATACCTATGAGGACATAAATGACACATCTAAAATAACACCTGGTTAAATAAATTTAAGAGTTTTATATAGTCGGAATACTTCAAGTGGACTGGTTTCGTGACAAGCTTGTCGTAACAATATTGATACAAATTAGTTCCTGTCTACCTCAAGCCCTCCAAAGGAACAACTAATAATTACATCGAGGAGACATTTTCTTATTCCCAGCGCTATTCTATATAAGGAAATGTTCCGAAAATAGGTCACGTGATAAGATACCGAACCATAATCAGACATAGATTTTTTATTATAGTCCCAACTGAGTCTAAGACTATGGGGGTAATCAGACATATATGTTGAGCCTCTAAGTTGTTCAAAGTCTTAGACGCAAAGGGAGTGTAATCAAATTCTTATCTTATAGAAGATATTTCGATACCACCTGTATATAGGGCAAGAATACCTTAGACTCTTTCAGAGCACCCACCCCCACTAGCCTTGTTTGGTCATGCACTAGGAGAGGCCTTTTGACCTTCTCTAAGTGCCCTATCCATTCGCCGAGGGTAGGGATATTTGCCGTTGTATATTAGGCAGGGAATCTCGCTAAAGCCACTGCATACGGGATTCCCCTTGCCAAGTTATCAGAACTAGATCAGCTTACATGGTCACTTTTCTGAAGCGTTTCGAGAGACCAAGTGAACGCACGCTACAAACTTGTGTGAGGCAAACTAAATATTTCATTAGCATCCCGGCATCCTTTCACCCCTCTAGGCCTTCATGCCTCGGTATAGGTCACAGGTTGCATACATATGTTATATAAGTCTTGATAGAGGGTGAGTGCTGTAAATGAAACTAGACTAACTTCTCTATATTGTCTTTAGTATCGGTGAAGCTCACAGCATTACTAACAATAGAAGAGCCGCTGGCTAGTATTGGACCCAAACTTGGCTCTCCAGACTTCACGACAAGAGCTCGAGATTCATAGAAGATGTAGTTGGTAAAACAAAAAGTAATACAATTTGGGTGACGTCACGAAGTCGGTGAAGAGAATACATTAACGGGTATCTCGGAATACATACTATTGTCTCCTCTTCCTCTCTGATACCTTTTCTCCGCTAATCCAAACGCCTCGATAATGGAGTCAAGACTTATCCCTGTCAAATTTCTGACGACTTCCTGAACACCGCGAGTATACAGAACAATTCATAATGCCCAAATATGATGCATTTACCAATAGATATTGCCGAAAGCTACTAGGTCTTGATTCACATTTGATAAAATCACAGATCCGAAGGAATAAAGCCCTTTCTGAGCTGGCAATGAGTTTGTCTTTTTGGCCTAACCATTCCAGGTAGTTGCGCTTGCGCACGGTCCAGAGTTGATGTTTGGTCATGTGATATTATTTGGTCATCCAGCGGCTGATGCCGACGAACCGCTCCAGAGCAGCCCGTCATGAGAATCCTGAAGCTGGCAGAGCTCAGGCTTATCGCCTCTAAATGTGGTATATCTAGCCAGGGAGTCAAGGCTGCCCTGAGCTCACGGATTGATAAAGCACTCCACGCCCTTCCCCCACCACCCACCCAGCCTCGACGCATCCTCAGCATCGACCTGGGTATTCGAAATTTGGCTTGCTGTACCCTCGATCTGAAACCCCATTCTACCGTACCGTCCCTAACCTCTTGGAATCTATCATCTCTTGAGTCGGCTTCGGAACCGGCAGCGGTGCTCCAAGCCCGCGATGCATTCGATCCACACTCCATGTCGCAAATGACATACGCCCTCGTCCGCCAACGCCTCCTCCTTGACCGTCCTACACATATCTTGATTGAACAGCAGCGCTTTCGCACTCGAGGATTCAAGTGCATCGCCGAATGGACTATCCGCGTTAATGTTCTAGAGGCCATGCTTCATGCCACCCTATGCACTCTACGCGCCGAGGGTAAATGGGCCGGAGATTATGAATCCGTCATCCCGGCAATGATTGGTCCTTTTTGGTCTCATAGCCTCAAGGATATTCTGGTGAAGAGTAAGGACGTACGGAAGCAACAAAAGCTGAAGAAAATCGAGTTGGTGAGAGGCTGGCTAGAACAAGGCACCCCATTTTTCACCCTCGGAAGCGAAGAGGTCAAGGTTATAAGTAAAAGATACCAAGATAAATGCAATCAACCACGTCGTCAAGCTGTCAAAAATAATCAAGCGGAAGAGGCGAGCGTTCGCCTGCAAAAACTAGACGATATGGCAGACGCCCTACTGCAAGGTCTAGCATGGATTCACTGGGATCAAAATAAGAGAGTTGCGGCAGAAAAAGGACTGAAAATTCTGCTGGCACCATAATTCATAATAAACCAAATCTTTATTTTCCTCGTTTCCTAACGAGTATCGCCACGCTTCCATCGGCTTACTTTTAGAGTTTCACCCTCATTATAGAGAAGTTAGGCTAGCTCTAGCGCGTCCTGTATTAGAGAAGAAATCGTAGACAACTGCTGGGGGGCTGGAACTCGAGGGGACTCAGCCCATGACGCTGAATATTTAGAGTGGATCAAGCTTGGCCTCCCTTTCCGATCAGGACCAAACTTCAAACTTATCCTGGATATTAATGAACCCTGTCGTGTGGCAATTTGAAGGACTCATTTGAGGAGGTTGATTTTCCTTCAAATGATAGATAACTCTCCTTAGTCCTACAGACCCTTATCTGATCCAACTCAAGACCGATCTAATGTTGAAGTATACTATTTACCATCTAGTGAAACCTAGATTCTTTCCTCGCCGTTAGAGAACAATCACCAAGTCTAGAGGCTCTGATTATTGTCCTATCGAATGTACCAAATTCCTCAGGAAGCAGTTCACTAATAAAACACATAGATTCCCTGAATGGCTCTATTACCAATTTAGGCTAGTTATATATAGTACAAATATGGAATAAATACCTAGCTGCGAGTTTGTCCCCTGGAAACTTTCGAAATTTTGGTTTTGTGGGTGTATTAACAGGCCATATTACTAGTTATTGAAGGAAGATATGGGTAGAAAACTGTACTGCTGGTAAATGCCTAAAGCTTGTTTAGGTATATAATTATTCTAACTACTGAGTTCTACATTTACGATATATTCTATAGACCCAAGTTTAGCCCAGCTTACAAATCAAGTCACATGTATTCTGAGACTCAGTGACTGATACTTCAACACCAGTGTTTCCTGGAATTATTGCTAGATAGTTTTGTTGTATGGCGAGTCAGTATGTCTCCGATACAAATAGTTCACAGAATTAGATATAGAGAAGAGATACTCATTGACCAGCGATCAAGCCCGCTACTGCAGAAGAGAAGTGATCAGCCCTGTTTATAACAACAGCAGCTTAATCATTATTGTGACCTTTCCAAAGCTTCCAGCCTGAAAAGACAACATCTAAATAGGATCAGCTCATCGCTAGGTCTGAACTTTGGCCCGAGCAAGTTTGCGTTTGGCTGGACTTGCTACTTTTACCCCTCGAGTCTTAGATTCGCGAACTAATCCTCCGAATTTTCGTTTTTGGTAGCTATTCAATGATCTCATCGTGAGATGGCGAAAGTATCCTGCAGGATCTGGGAGTTCATGAAAGAATGGAACCCTTCACTTGTCGAGATATTACTCAACTACTCGAGGACCGAGAGGATTCGTCGTGAGAAGGACGAGTCTAGGCTCAGAACCAATATCTACATGTTTGCTGATGCTGTGTGTCTCTATACATGCTTTGAATCTGGAAGATTGATTTAGGTTTGATCAATATCATAGCCCTAATTGAGCCTATGATTATGGAGGCCTTCTAGAATCCATGCGAGAGAAACTAGCTACGTTTTGTAAATTCGAAATCAATTACTTTAAAATTTGCCCTCTTGTTGGACATATCGCGCAATGAAATTGACGCAATATTCATGGAACGAAAGTAAAAGTTGACTAAAAGAGTGTCATGTTCGGATTACAGTTAAAACTATGAAAGTGTGCGCTACAAGTACAAGTGTAGGAGGGCAAGACTGAACACCTGTACGCGGTGTTCTCTACGAACCTTGGAGTGAAATATTCTCCCAGAGCCAAGTTCAGTCAAATTTCGCAATAACGAACAAGTTGGCCCTCGAGGCATTGATTCAAAATACCTCACCACGTCAAATTTTCACTCCCAACGAGTCTGATTCCTTCCTAAGCCTCATCAAGTCTACAAGTACGACCTAGTACATCCTTATTCCAATGATCACACCTCTCGTCGACTTTGTCTGGCCTCAGCCGGTCACCAAATACACGCCCACGCCGATATTTATACCCGACGGAGGACACAAAGCGTGCCGTACAAATCTGGGAGATAGTTCATTGGGATTGGCGTGAGAGGATTCAGGACAAGTTAACAAGATGATGCGAAGGATGGATTCAGTTTCGACGGGCGTAGAATTTTGAATTTTGACAGGGAGTTCTTACAAATTGAGCTTTATGCGTGCCAAGCCTTCGGTTGCGAGAGTGCAGGCGACACTATAAACATCGCCATGGTTGGATGGTGCGGTGGTACATCGTCTTGACCGGTCTGCCAAGTATAGTCTGGATAGCTTGGTCACATATCCCACTTGAGACAGTAGATCGCTGGTTCAAATCCGGCAAAACACAACCACTTTTCTCGCGGCGCTGGTATGCATGGATGACAAAAGCATGCTTGAATAACCAAAGGTTTTGAAACGTCCCTTTGGTGGGTACTTACGGAGGAGGGTCGACTGTTTGTGTAAGCGAACATACCTCATAGTGGTATTTGCGAATGAAATCCAGAGTATGAGTGTCTCTAAAGTCAAAAAAGTCATCCATCATGTATACATAGCACCGGTCATGTGTCATAGCTTTATAGCTGAACACACATTAAATGATTTTAAAAAAAAAAGAAGGGCATTGCTATCTTCCTGCACTAGAACGGGCGCGAGTCATCTATCTGCATGGCCTAAATTCCCTAGAGCCTCCCGGCTCTCATTGCTCTTTAGACTGTAGGACATATTCAGTGCGGCTAAGAGAGGATCTGATTTTACTATTTCGAGCCCTTCCTAACGATTATTTGGTATTTAATTGTCCCACCGAGCCCTAGACACTTGGATTTTCCATCGCGTCTAGGAGAATCAACTATCAACCCCAAGAAACTTAACAGGCTTCCCAAAGTCAAAGATTAAAGGCGTGCTTTGAGTTCAGAGTCTACAGCGATACTAGTACCTAAAGGCATATGGCGCACAATTTGGTGCGCTGCAGACTGACTCTGTAACTGGTCTGCAGGCGAAGTTGATGAGGCATAAAGAATAAACTCTTCCCATGTTGTTGTCAACACTATAATCAATTCGCTTCTACATGTGTACCAAAATATCTCTCTCCTTGAGTTATCCCAGGCCTTCCAATGCAGGAAAACATGTCAGTCTCCAGTACCAAGTGAAACAGATTGAAATTAGCTCCCTGTCATGCTCAGCCATGTAGTATGGTAGATCTAGTAGCTGTTATAATTAATGGAGTAACATGACTGTATTACAATAAACTGTTCACATTAGAATAATGTGCACATGCGCCATGAGATATGATTGACCTAGATCATCACTCATTGGTATGATTTAGTATTTCCCAATAGATTCCTAATGGTATCTATTGGCGCCAGGATCTCTCACATCCTTCCTTTCTCGCTTAGACAAGGACATATGTTGGAAAATCCACTAGTGTGCAGAAACCCCCTTATTCATGTATATAGAGGAAGGTCCTGTCACGTAGATTACTCAAGCAATTCAAACAATAGGAAATTCAAACAATCTCCATATTATTCACACACTTGAGAATACCAGGGAATATCCTCAAGTTCGTTCATTGATCAAGTCCTAAGAGTATAACTCACGAACTTCTCTTCTCTTAAAAGCCATAGCTACCTCCTTCCATACCTTCATCCTAACGGTACGTCATTCCAGCTCAGCATAGCCTTTCACTAGTAGCTAGTGCACAGGTAGTTGTTATAGCAGTGTGGCATTACGGCGCATAAAGGAGATACAGTGTGACGGAAACCGAGTTGGTGATGAATAAATCGATTTATTAGACTATATGAAGAGAAAAGAGACCTCTAGCTACTTCTATCAGGTATTTATAAGAGTTGATCATCCTCGTAAATCTATAGACTAGTGACTTGTCCTTAGGCACAATGCTTTATAACCAGCCACGTATTTTCAGGTGTCACTAAGTTGTAATAACGCTCAGCCTCCTGATTAGTAGTGCTGTTTCGTTAGTCTCCATCTCCTCCCCATACAGTCTTATCATAAGAATTCTCAATATTAAGCTTAGGTCTACTCCTAAGCTCAAAAAACGGTCAAACCGTAACATATAGCCTCTACATATCGGCACTACAGGCAGTACTGTGCACAGTAAGAGCGATGGCTTGTTGATGTAGGATGAACGGTTGAGTTACTCGATTGGGAGCACACTTTTTCTATTTAATTTTCAGGTCCTAAGCTAAGCTCTTTATCTCCTAGGAGTCAAAGACCGGTGTACACGGCCGAGATCATGCTTTCCGCATGCTCACCTCGGTCTCACCGCGTGAACCACTACATAACCAGTAGCTGGTTAAAAGAAAGAAAAATAGAAACTCCCGTAAACTCCTGTAACTAAAGTTCCAAGCCCAGTAATCCAGTTTATGGTTAGAAAAACGACACTTCTCGTCTCGTTTTCCTACCTGCCATGCATTGTGCTATGACTAGTTACCACCGTCTCCGCTGAGAGCTGGAGACCGATCCGTAGGTGGGCCCCCGAAGCAGCCGGTTTCCTGCGCAAAATTTGTAAATTTCTCGAGGCACTTAGGCCCGAGAAGCTTGTGGACAAAGTCGTGATGTGGCATTGTCCCTCGTAGTCGACGCGTCTGGCGTGCGTGCAGTCGACAGTGAGTTAAATGGAGAGGTGATGTTTCCTCCCCACACGCACACTCCATTGAAGCTGCGAAGTTGTTGAAACGGCGGTGACATGCCGCGAAATTTCCGTGGCCCCTACGGGCTGAGATCAGTTCACGGAGTAGCCGCCGGGAAAGTGCCTGCTCGCGAGGCTTTCGTCGTCGCATGAGAAGTCCAAGATTTTGATACTTAGGTGGACATACTTCTTCCCACCAGTCGTCGAGAAGCGCTTGAAGTTTCCGGTTCATGAGCCGACGAACGTACGCCATTGTGATGGAGCCAGGCTGGATGTCTTTGCTTGGCAGTTGTCTGAGGCCGGAGCGTGCAGCTCTGTCTGCATCTTCGTTTCCCTGTATCCCGGAGTGGGCTGGTATCCACTTCACCGAGACTAGAGCCTTTTTTGATAGCGCCCTAAATTGGCGTACG